GAGCCAGGGGGACAGTATTTCCTGGCCAGCATGACCATCATAAAGCATGCGGACATGGCCTTGGGCAAAAACTGGGAGTGTGTCAGTCTGAATTCAAATGAGTACTCGCAGGAAGAGAGGAGTCCAAACATGAAAGGCCGCAAACGATCTCCAAGCTGTAACACCGCCAACTTCAAGTTGGGTTTCAAGTTCTGCACCCTATCATCCCTATCTAAGAATTCGACCCGATTAGGCCCGGGTCACCAGGGTGGAAAACGAAATGCCGACCCCCCACGGCCCCAATTAGCTGACCCTGCTGGACATAAGCCCGTTCCAGCTGATGATGCGGCCCGAGCATCACCTTGCAGGATGACTGGGACACTGCGTGGTAGCACCACAAGGAATGGAAAAACAAACGCTTCGGATTTTGGACATGTCACTTTATTTGAGAGTGTGTAAAGAACCAGGCACACACTGCAGCTTGAATGAAATGCAGGGCTGGCAGCGGCAAGAAGCAAAATGCATCCAGTAAATTCCAGCGGCGTATGCACAAATTGCACAAGTCTTCAGACACTCTGACTTGGACTTTGTCGAATTTGTAGACCAGGGAAGATCAGTGCGCTAGGTGCACTCGTGCTGGAGTTGCATGGACCAGCTATGCCAGCTATCGCTGCTGCGAGCATTTTGAAGAGAAAATTCTGTCCCGCCAAGTGGAGACTGAGGGACAGGCAATAAGTGCCTGCCATACATTGCCTTGGTTGTCATCTGTAATGCATAAACTTATTTTTAACACGTCTAACATGATCATAACATGATCATAACATGATCTAACGTCATCTCACATTTCCTGATGACAGGCTTTCCATGCTTCGACCTTGTCTGCGTCGGTAAATCATCCGAGGAGATGACTGTGGAGCTCGCATGGCCAATGGGTTGATCGCAGGAAGGGAAAACTGCCAACACCGAAATCAACGGTGAAATCAACGGAAAGTTCAGCTCAGCAAAGTGAAATTGAAGGCAACTCAAAAAGCCGCACTGTCGGGATCTAATGGAATGATATGGAATGTAGAAATATGATGAAATATGTAACTCGGACCAGATTCAGTTATTTTTTTTGATCCAATAAAGCACATTTGAAAGACACATAAAGTAACATTTGCATGTTGCCTTCTTCTTGGCCAATCACGAGGAGACGCGAAATGACACGAATTTGTCCAAATTGCAGAGACTCCAATCCAAATCTTTGAAAACGAAAGAACATCCAAAAACGCATCCCTCTAGCATCGGAGGTTTGTACGCCATACATCTTGGACAATCGAGCGTTTGTGTGAAAGATGTGAACGCCACTAGTACTGTTGGTCTTCCGAAACATTCTGCAACGCGAAGCTCTGACACTGGCCTCTGTGGTGGCAAGCACTTGATCCTCTTGAAGCTGGCGAGTGTAAGCCACAGAAGCCTGAGTGAAGATGGTTGAAGATGATTGGAGTGTCGAGTACCTTATCGTTTACAAAGAAGGCATAACCGGGCCCTAGTATGTATACAGTAATGTATCTTTATATATGAATGTTTGTTCATCTGACAACAATCAGCGAGCCATGGCTGTCAGTTCCAAACTGAGGGCAAAACATTCCAAGCTTCGCTGTCGTTTCTGGACATGGAAGTATTTCCAGCACTCACATTCGCTCCGGTCCTTGCTGCACGAAGATGAGAATCGCTCACAAATCTCACACAGGGCCCGTCCAGGCTGATCTAGATGTCGAACTGTAATATCTGTAATTTGCCAAGTTCGCGGCATCCACTCTCGCCATTGTCCGGACTTCCTGAATCAATGTGGGGGGAACATTGTCTGGGCTTGATGCATATGGAGTGTGGAGTTATCATTCGAAGGGGTTCCCTTTTGGTCAGGGGATATCTGCTCACGTCAAGTTTTTCCAAGAGCATGGTGGAGGATATGGTTTGTCCATCTCGCTACAACTCTAACGGCATCAAGCATCCCAAATCCGAGTCTCCCACAATGGGAGGCATGATGGATTAGAATTCATAAAGTGAAACTCTGGCCAGTTTCTCAATGGTTCCTAAGCTCTCAAAAATAGACCTGAACAGCAGTTTAAAAGTATGTGCTCACATGTTGTCATATTCTTTAAGTGGAATATACACATATTTGGTATAGAGATCCTTGCCTTTCCTGGTCCCAACATGTGGAAAAAATGCCGATGCCTCTGCGACACGAGCTGCCTTAATGCTAGCTCTGGCGCCTTGCGACTCGTCACTTAATTTTCTGGTCCAACAATGGGATACCCCCATTGTTGGAACATTAATGGGAACCGGGAACATGTTATACCGTATATACCAAACAAATCCAAACAATGTATAGATTATTCATGATATATTCATGATTATTCATGATTATTCAAAATGACAATATGAATGATCCTCAACCATGCTCTTTTCTGATAATCACATGCTCTCATGTGTCACATGCAATTGGCCTATTTTCAGTCACACCTGTATCTTAGCAGCTGAAGTTTCATTAGAGTGCTGCGTCTGCAATGCTGGAGAAGACATAGTCTTCAGAGCAACCAAAGTCATGGAAAGCTCCAAATGCTCCAAGGGTTTTCCATGTAAGCTGTAGACAAGTGATGTCGCTTCCCCAGGAGCGTACAACTCATGCATTGGCATATCCGACCTGGCACAGGAGGATGGTAGAACTGGTAGAACTGCTAAGTTCAAGGCTGACGACTGAGAAATTATCAGAGGTCTCCGGCAAAAGTCTGCCAAACTCGTTGAGCCGTTCACCCTAAGGTATTCCTAAGACTGCTAAGACTTCATAAAATAATTCTAAAGAAAAATGAGATTGGTGGGCTGGCAGGCAGAGATTCTGAAGGGAAGTTTACCAAGAGAATGTATGAATAGCTCTTCTGATTAACAGCTCGTCATCATGACAGTACATACGTAACAAGTAAACGTCCCTGTCTGAGAGACTTTGCTGTCAGAGTCTTAGGCGCCGTGGAATGCAGTGATTTGCTTATTCTTCTATAATATATATATAATATAATATATATAATATATATAATATATATATAATATAATATATATATATATGTGTACAGTACTATGAATGTACAAATATTTCAAGTTGCTCTTGCCCCTTAGACTTTGGGACGTGACCAACCAAGAACAGAACTCACCTTTTCCTGACGTAATGCTTCGCATATGTCAGGACTCTGTTTGAGCCGCTGCTTAACAACGACAACCAAAGCTGCCTGACAATAGCGATATTGGTATGGGTATATAATAGCAGAAAAAAGATACAACACCACAACTGTTCTGAGAAATGATCTTGTGCAGTAGTAAACGGGCAAATCAGCGAACACTTCTTGCAATTCATAATGTCAACAGGTAAAGGATGGCATCTTTGGACTACGTTTGCAGGCCAAATGCTAGTCTCCCTGCTCAAGTGGCCCTTCCCCAGCCAGGGTAACAGGGGCAGGCTTTGCACAAAAATCATCAAAAATCAATAATCCTATTGTTTCGCGATCAAATGTACAATTTAAAATGCATCGGATTCGGCATGTGTCAGCATATCTGTCAGCTCCTTGGCGTTGGCAGTCGGCCAGGTGGGGTCTTACAGATCTTACAGTTACTCTTACGTGGTAATATGTGATCGTAATCATCGTGATCCAAGTTGGCAGACAGTGAACATGTTTATCACTTTATTACGTTTCAAGTTGTGTCAACATGTGTCAACTGATGCTGCAATGCTTTGATTTGATTGACAAAAGCAGAAACTCACAAACCATCACCCTGATGCAAAACCACCTAAAGATGGGAACAAGCCTGCAGCTCAAGCTCTCTGCTGTCTACACACTCAACGTCGAGTTGTCCCAAAACGAAACCTTGGTCTTGGTGTGCAGGACACTTAACTTTCGTAATGAAAAATATCGGACCCCTGAGATTGGCAGCAAGAAAGTAAAATTGCCACGTGCTTTTTGATGCCAGGTGAAGTAGTCTTTCTTCATCTTTCTTCACATCAACAAACTGCATAATAATCCTTCATGTCAAGACACCTCGCCAGACAATGCTACCCACAGCAATGAGAAGAACTAGAGTGAAAAAGAGCCCCAGCAGCAACGTCGTTATCCGCCATGTACCGGGATCTTGCCTGGCGTCCCATCTTTGGCACGGGAAGCAAAATAAATATGCTCTTTTTCTAGCGAAGATTTGCGAAGCTACATCGTGACATGCTTCAACTAACGATTTGGCCAGAATCAGAACTGATTCAAACATATTCAAACGAGATTGCATCCACTTGCAGAAAACTGCGCAAAGCACATAAACATCCACACACTAACAAAAAGGACACCTGACGTGCCTGCCAATCCTTTGGGATGGCATGAAATCCTCATCCTTGGTTTGAAAGATGCCATTGTGCGACGATGACTCCGTTAGATCCAAATCCTCAGTGGGGTTGGCTGTGAATTCGAAGCCTAGCGATTTTGTTTGCACCTGTTGCTCTGCCAATTCTGCTGAGAATGAGGTGGAAAAGGGTTGTGTTGTCGCTATGAGCGTTCTGTGTTTAATTCTGAGGAGTTTTTGGGTCTTGGTGCAACCTGCACCTGCTACAAGCAACCTGTCCTGCTTGTACATTACGTTGAAGAGATTTCTTTGGGCATTACATATCATTTTGCTATGATTACATCACAGCAAATAGATGCAAATAGAGCATCTTAGAAGTTGACACCAAACCCGCACCAGAGCCGACCCCAACACATGATGTGCAGCATCAAAGCCCACCCTGACATTAACATCACCCACACTACCGTTTACCATTCAGTTTCTCTACATAGACTCTGAGAATGTATACCGTAGACTGCTCTGTGTGACAGGGCAAATTGACGTCGTGTATGCAAACTTTTGCTCAATGTGACTTTCACCAATCTCAAGCCTGTCTGTTCATGTGCCACTGTGCCCAAACGGAAACACGTTTCCAGTCAAAATCTATTCGAAACCGATGCAGATTCTCAAATTCGGAAAGCATATGAAAGCCACTTTTCATCCCTCCAAGTCTCATCAAAGAGCTTGTTGAATGCGAAGAGAGCAGCCCGAGGATTGTCTGCAGGGTTCATGTGCCCTGCTTCTTCAATCCTTGAGGCGTCTGACTCTGGATGAATGTCAAAGCAACAGCTGGTGACCCGGGGGGTTCAGCTGGTGGATATCTTTCATTTTCTGCACCAAGGTGTGCTGAAAAATCTGCCATTGGCTGGTCCAACATAATTGTAACAAGTGGGAGCAGAAACCAAAGTCTGCTAGCATCCAGTGGCTGACGCAGGAGATTCCATGAATCCTTGCTTGAAGACTGAACGGTTCATTGTCCTTTGATATTCTGAGGTAGTTGGGCTGGCGCTGCAAGAAGGTGCTGGACATACATTCCCACAATCTGCATCGGGCTTGCATTGTCAAGCACAGTTTGGGGGAAGCCTCCACAAAGTGAGTCTCCAAGGTCATTTTGCACAGTTTGCACCATGCTTCCACGAATGACGTGGGCTCCAAACCCCTGTATGCACAGTCTTGCAGACTTACCCTCAGTGATTTGATACCTTGTATAGCATGTCCCTTGACGACTACACAAAGCCAACTCCGCTCTGGTCTGCAGGACACCTTTGAGAGAGTCATTTCTTTATTCTATTTCAGTACTATTTCACAGATGTTATATATGTTCATGGCATAGAACTTGACCGTGTGTTTCGGGACCTAATAACTAATATAATATGACTATTTATATGACTGCTCAGAGCTGCTCATCACTCGTTCCTTCAGCTGACAAGTTGCTGCATCCAAGTCAATCCTCCGCCAGATTGTACTTTCCCAGCTACCGCCCCGTTCAGGAAGAGGTCTTTCGGGGATGACTTTGCCCAAAGATCTGCTTCCTTCCATCTCAAGGCAGATGCCACAGCATAGCCGCCTGGCAAAAAAAGAAAAAATCGCGATTCGACAAAACATGACAAAACAAACGAAAGAGATCGAACCAGTGGTGTGTTAAAAGGTCGAGGAATAGGACTGCAGTTTTTCAAGTAGTTCACCTCAAGAGGCCGACGTCTTCTGAAATGCCACAGACATCCACAGACATCCGACCAACTTCAATGATTCATGACGTTCCTATGACGTTCCTGTGACGTTTCGAAAAATTGGGGACCACGTGTGTCCCCGAGCAGGAGAGTCATTCAACACATGATATCACCAGGACGAAGACTCCAACTGGCCTTCGTAGTTGCATGTGGTATCCTTCATGCCATAGACCATCAAAACTTGAATTTTCAGCTCCAACAGCTTTGCAATTATCGCCACATTGTCTACAGTTTCGCCAGCGTCGAAGGATTTGGGGAAGGTGATGCACCCAGCACCGCATCCCCCAAAGGACGCTTCGCCCGCATTGCCACAAACATTTAGTGCTCTGCGCACGTTGGCCGAAGAGAACCACCTCACGGCATAAACGGCATCGAAAGTGTGCCTGCAAGGCCTGCAAGGCCTGCAAGACTAAGAGAAAACACAAATACGAAATAGATCGAAATAGTACGAATGCTATCCGACTCCTGCCTGTCGAAGCTAGAGTAGTTGTATCCCATGCATCCGCAGCAAGAGCCGGCGGATGTTCTCCGATAGTCGTAAGTATTGGGCATGTATTTCTTGTAGTTCCAAATTTGAAACCTCAGTTCTGCGATGAAATATTTGGAAGCAGTTCTCAGCGCCAAGAACTGATTGAACAACTGGCAACTGGCATCACTGGCATCAAACAAAAGCTCACCAAGTGGCCGCGCAGATGCCATAGAGCTGGGATGAGCATTAGACGGAATTAGCGACTGCTTTCTGGCAAAGCGCTTGAAAGCACTGAAACCTGCGAGCACTTGCAGCTCTCTCCCTCCTGAATTGAGCCCTGGCTTCAATCTGCAATCTACAACAATTTGATCAATTCATATGGTTGTCAGTGCGTGCGCACGTGTGCGGGCAAGCTCATGAACATACCGCAGAACATGGGTTTGTCTGAAAATGGGGTTTACCATCATATTTCATCATATTTCCACTTAATAATATTACACATTTTGGGGTATACCGTATACGGTATACCTTGTTTTTAGACATGCCCATACTAGTTTGCCTTCTGCAGTTCGTCTGCAAATCCTAAACAATGCAACTACTTTCTGCTGTGAACCCTTGCTTTTATGAAGCAGCAAATTACCATTCACGTCTCACCTCATCAATGCCTAATTGATCCTAATTGTCAATATTTGAGCGGAGTAAAAGAACTTTGCGACTTAAGGTTTGCTTCCGTTGGTCACAGCGAAAGACTTACAACCAATCACATCAGTTTGCGTTGAATGCCCCAGGAAAAGGTTTGAAAAGGTTTCTGATTTCTATTGTTTCCTTATGTGGGTATGTGGGGAGAATAAGCCTGGAACAGCTTGATCCACACATGCCACCTCAAACCTTATGCCTTGATCACTTGCCTTGATCTCCTAAGCGAGCGGGAGGTCGAAACTAAAGGTGGCAATGAAAACAAGTGGCCTTGAAGTCGTTGATCAATGCATGTGTTGCTCAGCACAACACCGGCGACTACAATTTCTTCAGATGGTGTCCTTAGATTTGAGACTCTGTCAGCAAGGAAACCGCAACTGTAACTGTTAGTTTTGCTGAATCTTCATCATTCTTCATCTTCACTTGCAGATCTTGCAGCCAGGTCTCTTTCTGTTGAATTCCAGAATGGCTTCCGCCCAGGCTGGCACATAATGACCCCCATATGACTCGGTGGCAAGGACGAACTTGGAGCTAGCAAATTGTGGGAAAAGTCTTCGCCAACCTGAGCAGGTTGTGGCGAATAGCAGGTTCGAATAGCATGCCCAGGTGCAAAACGAGAAACATCGAAAAACATCGAGAAACTAATAATAAACATGAATAAACTATGGCAAAAGAACAAAAATGACATCAAACATGACAGGGAAACAAAACAAACACATTTGCAGCGACACCCAGGCACAAACGGGACTGTGTGCCATTTGAGCAGTGTCTAAATGAAAATCCCTGGTTGCTTAATGGGGATTCCCAAAATGGATCTCAATATGATTATTCGGTAGTATAACCAGCTTGGGTTTTGAACATGCACATTTGTATTATTGTCCCTGGCCATTTTGCAGATCCCGTTGTTCTGAATTACCAATTGGCATACGGCAATGCGGCGTGAGAGCAAGCTGCAATACTTTTTCCTCGGTGTCCTGCTGGACTTGAGGGACTCTTTAGACTTAAACAGCTCTGATGTTTCTGTATCTTCCTGCTGTCCTGTGCACCAATTGCTGGTATCAAGAACTGGCTTACGTGGGTCAGCGTTCTCCTGCATTTCCTTCTTGACTATTGTAGTTGCTTGGGACCCTTGGGAGTTTGCAAATTCATGCTGATAATTTTGGCACCGGTCATGTACATTCCTCATGATCCTCATGGAGACCAATTGAGTCCCCGTTTCTGAGAGCATAAAAACCATGACCATCACAGGGGCACAATCACAGCAGCAAGGTCACAATAATAAGAGCAAGACGATTCAATATAAATCAGCATCAAGAACAACACAGCCAAAGCAAAACAACAAGAATGACATACGTACATTAGGATCAAAGAAAATCAACAAGGACAACAAATGACATACTGTAACATACTGTAACATACTGTAACATACTGTAACATACTGTAACATACTGTAACATACTGTAACATACTGTAACATACTGTAACATACTGTAACATACTGTAACATACTGTAACTACAAAGATGAGGCATCATAAGGCATCAGGTTGCGATGCAGAAAACTCAACCAATCCATGGCAGTTGAGAAGCCTCGGATAAATTGCACTATGTCTGCAGCAGCGTCTTTTGAAGAGAGGACAAAAGGGCCGGAGCCAGTGGAATACCCAACATATCGCGGTTGGTCTACAAAAATAATGTGAGCTCGATGATTCCAGGCGAAGGGGTTTGAGGACAAGCGTCCTTCAGGGAAAGCAAAGAACCAACTGAAATACTGAAAGATACTGAAAGAACTGCGATGGAGATAAAAGCCATATGAAATCTGACTTAGTTTGACCAAGTTTGACCAGACTGTCTAACTTCAATCCTGAATATCCATCTCCAGTCTTCACTCCCTTGAGGAGTAAAGGTCCGATTTCTGTTGTTGCCCCTTCCATTGAGGTGCAACCTGGTCCACCGTTGCTCCAAAGAATGACCGGAGGGTTGGCATTGCCGTTGCTCCGCGTGTCTTTGGCTTCGACAAACCAATAGAACAGGAAGTCCCTGTCCGTCACGTTGATGTAACCTGGCAGGAGCCAACCGGAGTCCCATCGCTTGTCCCACCAGCTCGTCCTTTCCCCAATTCAAAACAAGGCCTCTGTTTGGTACTGCACGGATGTTGTGCTGATACAATCTGAAACACACACACACACAACTGTTCCGTTCTATCTTGGTTTTGAGATAGTTCAATGTGTGAACTCTTGTCCATTGCAACATGTTTCTCTGCACTCACTGCACCCTTCGTCAAATTGGAATGGAAGTGGGGACTTGGCCAACAGTATCGGGTTGCTCAACCCACAGCTTCCACCGGATATCCTCAATGATAAATGATTCACATATATTCACATGATGATAAATGGCTGCAGTGATTCTTACTGACGTCCATTTGCGAAAACATGCGAAAACATATCTTTACTTGAAAGCCTGAGAAAGGCCCCCTGAAGGCAAGATTTGGTCATTTTGGTCATGTTCCCAAGTATCTAGGCAATTCAAAGACCTGGGGAGAGGTGTTGTTTGCAGTATAGATTTCATTAGTCGACAACAGTTGCATCATCCAAACAGTCCAAGTGACCACTGAACATTCGCTCATCTGAAAAGTCATTCAGCAACTCCTGTGGAAATGTCACTGGAGCTTTCTCCACGGGCTTGGGACATTCCAGAGCAGCTCCGACCTGGACACTGGACTACACAGGGGTACCAGGGTACCAGCAATGTAACAGCCAGATTCAGACAGTAATCTCTGCATGTTCCATATATTTCCATATTTATTCTATGCTCCCGCCAAAAAACCGACCAGCAAGAGCAATCTGGCCTGCCATGCCAACGCTGCTATTGTCAACAGCATGGCTCCCAGAGACCACCCAAAGTCTCTCCTTTGAGCCTTAACAGCTAAGCCTCAAAACGGAGAAATACATTCAGTTGTCCTTTGAGTTCTTTGGAATCGAGAGGTGCGCATTCCACACCCACGATGCCAAAGGGTAGAAGCAGAAGCAATTCATGAGTAGCTGAAATTGGAAGTCCCTGGAAGTCCAGGATGAAACTCTCTCAACATTCCAAGACCACAAATCCCTTGGGCAACAGCTGCAACGTGTTCCCAACATGTTGGGTCACTGAACTCGTAACATCTGCCAGTTCTGCCGCATGCGTGGTGCTGGAGCCCCCAGAGACTCGGCTTGCTCGAACCTCATGGCATCATGGCACGGCCAGATTTTTGGTCGTCGCCATGTCGTCGGCGAAGGAATCTAGACTGTAGCAGCGAAATACCCTCAATGACAAAGGATACGGCAAGTAATTGCAGTGAAATGATGTGAAATGAACATGTCAAAAGGCCGTAAAAACTAAATCTTATAGCCAACTATCCAACAAAGTAAGCAAAATGATCAAACATGATGAAGACATGAATCAAGCAAACCGAAGCAAACCGAAGCAAACCGAAGCAAACTAAACGAAGCGAATTCTCAGAGGCTTCCGACTCCCTGTGCACATGAAGGTAAGCTTCTCTCATGGTGCTAGCCTCGTTTCGATTCGAGATGGCAAGGACTCGATGACTCGACAAAGCGGCAACCTGCCTCTCCCGGCTTCACAAAGGTGTGCTGGGACTGGTTGGGGAAGCAATCAGAGCAGTCAGAAGGCATGTCCCACCTGCAAATCTCTCGACGCATCACGATGCCACACTTTTGAAGATGCTATCTATATCTATCTATTTTGTCTATGCCACGCCTGTCTTGCAGTGTCTTGTGCCTTGACGACTGGTCTGCACTGACCGAGCCTGGAAATGTTGAAGGATCCGTTGAAGGTCCAATTGTCGCCAGAAGTATTCGCAAAAACCATATCCTCTCCTCGCCGAGACAGGAACATGCTGGCTTGCATTACGGAATGAAAAGTTTAAGCCCAGCAGCAACTTTTGTCTCCTGAACATGTCCTTCACTAGATGTAAGCACAGTACTTGAGGACATAATCTGACCATATTTGAATATATTTGACTTCTCTGACTTCTCTCTTTCTTTTCAGCATGCCATTGTGTTTTATTGTATATTTCACGAAGCCTGGATGGACATTGGTGTAGTTGGAGTCGTTGCGAGAGCGGTTCACATCTCAGATCGGTCAGATCGGATCAAATGACCAAATTTCAATGGCCACTGATGGCCACCACCACGCTGCCGAAGGATTCCATGATATTCCATGTATTTCCACGGCCACTGAGGCCCAGGCAGGTTTGATAAATCAGATCAGAATAGTGCATTTCTGCCAAGCGTCTCGCTTCGTTGATGGCCTGGGGCTCATAGATTCATCTGTTTGGGTGTCCGGAAACACTGTTGCTCTTTGATGTCTCAAGACAAACATATTATGCATGTACATTCATGTACGATAATCAGGTAAGTCAGGAAGTCTATCAAGTCTATCATTCTTCGGTCTAGTTTGGGGATGTTCTGAGCATTGGTGGAATGTTGCGGGGATTGGAGGTCATGCATTTAGCTGATCTGATCAGCACCAAGACCATGCTACGGTGGGATCAACACTAGTTGTACCAAGGTTGGTACATTTTGGTGCGACTTTAAGGTACCGACGTTACTAGCACGGTCAAAGTCAACATCGACAATACCAGTGAGCAAGTAGCGAGGGCCTCAGATGCATCATCTGTGCCCTGTTCGCATTCTTCATGCTTGAAGCACGGACGCCAACAGCCGTTTCCGTCGGACTCACTACCAGTACTGTACTGTTCAGTAAATTCAAACTCTTTCAACCTGTGGAAATGCATCAGGTCTGCTCTGTACAGTCTGGGATGTATTGAACTGAAAGATCCGTCAAATCCAATCAAATCCATTCAAATCCCGCAACTGTCATTCTTTTTTTCGCGCTCATGCACAAAGGGTACAAAGAAAAGCCACGCTGTAATATCAATGTAAATAAAATCAACGTGCTGTGAGGGTAGATGAAACTGGAATGCTTGAATGCTTGAACCTTGAAGGCAGAGTCGGACCCCTTTTCCAGCTAGAATTTGCGAGAATCGGCTAGCACTCAGCACTGGAACACGCTCAATGCGGAAAAAAGGCCCAAAGTGATACATAATTTGTGAACTCCGATTACAGTACTGAGGCAGCAGCAGGTACCTTCATTACAGTAGGCGCCAGAGGGACATGGCCTCAGTGTGCTCCAGAAACACCTGATAGACCTAGCAACTTCCATCGTCTTCCATATGTCTTCCGTTCTTCTTTACAGCAAATGGGATAAGAATTGAAGCGCGGAGGGCGAGGGGACTCCATAGAAATAGAAAGCCCACTGGTTCAGCTTCTTTCAAAATCAGGTATCCAAAACAAAGGTTTGAACATGTTTGAACCATTCTTCATTCACTTGAGTCAACAGTCAAGAACACTACCACCTTGTCGAAGCTTCACTCTACATCTGGGTGCAACAGCAAGTCTAAGACTGAGGAATCAGCAAAGGTCGCTTGAAGTTCCACAGCCTCAAAACAACTGTGCGATTTGGGGAGTTTAGGTGTGGCAACTGTCCAGGTGAAAAAATCTGGTGATATGGCAGGTGGTTTCGGCATGTTGCGACAAGTTCAGTGACCTTAATGACCTGCAACATGTCCTCCACACTCTGGGATTCTTTGCGCGTCTCTGGGAATCCTTTGGCATCTCTGAGCAACAAACTTCTCGATATAATGATGAAGCCATTGTCTTGCCTGTCGACAAGTCGAGGTTTCAAACAAGGTGATGTTAATTACGGCTCTGCTTTTCCAGCGAATTCCCTCAGGACGAAGGCTACGTACTTGGCTGTATCTGATGGACCTTGCATGTGTGATTCCTTTGACAATGGAACAAGTTCATTGCTTCTCCGTGGCTCAAACATTTGGAAGGGTTTGTTCCCTTCCATCTTCCCGAATGGGTTTGTAGACTTACACTTACGGTAATCCATAGATTGAGCAAATTTAATTGGAAGGGTAAAGGTTCTTGTTCTTGTCTATGAACGGATTCTTACGATTTTTTTAACGGATATTTCATGATTCCAATGATGTTTCCTCTAGATTTCTCAGAAAATCCTTAAATTTCCCGTTGATCAGATCGCCGTCGGTTTTTAAAACGCCTTCGGGTAGAGAATCACCAGGTCTTCTCGGAACTGGTCATCCGTGATGTTCAAGAGCGTGAGGCCATCGAAGCCTGCGACCCGTTGAACCCGTTGCCATTGATGTTTGATCAATGATTTTCAAGCGCATACTGGCAAAAGGGAGGTCAAAATTCTATAAAATTCTTATATAATCTTCTATATATCTCCAAGATGGATGGTATGGTATTCTGAATATTCATGAACATTTCATATTAACACTTATTAACATGATATTAACATGTACAACATTATGTTTGATATGTATTAACAACAATTAACAGCCCATTTTGTGGCCGTTTTGTGAGTCCAGCCCAAGACTTGACCCGAATTTTCGGGGACCGAGATGCCTGGAGCAAAGAGGTCCAGGTTTCGCTCTGCTGCAGTCCCTGACACAGGAGGACCAAGTAGGACCTGGAGGACCTGGAGGACTTGATAAACGTTAACAAAACATCTATTTAGACAGTGATGAAACATATCGTGAAACATCAAAAATCATGAACACATCGTTAAAAAACACACACACATAAAATATTGAAGAATATCATAGAATGCCATTAGGAGGCCATCCCAAAAGCATGTAAAGCATGTGAAGCAAGAACAGATCGATCCTTTTCCAGGTATCACGAAGAGAGTCTGGATTAATGAAAGAGCACCTTACTTACTTGGCCCAAATTGCTGTAGCCAAACATGTTGTGATGGTTTGCAAAAGATTTTGGTTGGAATTCCTCAACAGTGACGTCGGGACTTCGTGCAACAAAATGATGTCGCGCACACACACACACATACTTGCACATGGCATATACGCACTAAACCTTCGTAAAACAAGACGGCTTAGAGCAGCTTGGAGCTTGAAGTCCCAACATGTTCCAACAAGATTCCTGCTGAGTCCTTGTCAGGCCGTCAGGCCTACTAAATTCCATTCCAATGCTTGCATCTCAAGTTAGTCTGTGAGTCTGTGATTCCCTTGAACTTCTAGGTACAACGGGTGATTACGTGGAACACTGCAGGGATTGTTTTTGGGGGGCTGATGCTTCGTGGTTCTCCATGGTTTTCCTTTCCACAACCCAGGAGTTTCACCTAGATCAAATGAGGGTCGACTGGCTTAATCCACTTGGGTTACTACAAACGTTATCCACTTACCCTCTGGTAATTTAACATAGCTATTGAAAATGGTCATTTATAGTGGAATTTCCCATTAAAAATGGTGATGTTCCATAGTTATGTTAAATTACCAGAGGGTATGTTCCTTTTGCACAATCACTTCCCACATTGAGCGCACGTTGCCAGTTCCTGGGTGTCCTCACGACTCTGAATTGAGGCTGACAAGCGTGCGAAACTACGTGCAGACAGGGTGTCCTTAGCCGGCATGGTTTTGGTATGTTTTGGTATTCGGAATCGTTCCAAGTGGTGATTTATCATGATTTATCAGCAAGTCGCTGTCCAGTCAATTGGGAGATATGGGAGATATGGGAGATGGGCTCGACGTTCTGATCGTTCTGGGGCAACAGACATTTGCAGCCTTGAAGTCTGCCGCAATGCTATCGAAGGAACTGGACAATCTCTCTGGCCTAAGGCTCAGGAGATGATGGAGATGTCTCTAAGACTGATGGGACTGGGAACAAAATGCTCAGGTTGTGTCGGGCTGTCTTTTAAAAAAATACATATCCAAGAGCACGTCGCTCCAAACGTGTTCAAGCCAGAAAAGATTTCACAAGTTGCAAGGACCATGGAGGGCCT